GCAGGGCATGTCTTCCTTTTAACAAACGAAGGAACGTTTTCAAGTCTTCTCCCCATCATTGATTTTACTAATTGTGTTTCCATTACGAAAGTGCTGGATTTTCGGCGTTATCATGTACTGCATATACGCGGCTTCATATTGCCTCCAATATCCGAATATTGGAGGCAATGAATAACTCCTCGTATCCATGTTCGCCATTAAAAAATTGCTTTTCATGGTTGCCTTTACATTTTCTTCAAGGTTGCAACGCGATAGGATTTATTGGCGGCCTGACTGGAACGGTGTCCATCGTCACACTATCGGCGATCTCCCTGGAAAGGTTCTTGGGGATTCGGAACTGCTGGCGACCGGGAACCAGGTTCGCATGGCCGTCCGTCCGCATCCCGCGATGGCAACGGGTCCTTTGCATCACCCTACTCTGGCTCTACGGTCTTGTCTTCAGCGTCATCCCTTTGGTGGTGCCAGGCATCCTGTACGTCCCTGAAGGATACCTCACCACCTGCAGCTTCAACTATCTGGCTACAGATCGCGCAAACGTAGTCTTTATCTTCGTCTTCTTCGTCGGAGCTTGGCTTATGCCTTTTGTCGTCATCAGTTCCAGTTATGTCGGGATTATGTGCATAGTCACCAGAGGGCAAGTGGACTTTTACGACCCTGAGAATCTGTGGCAGCAGCAACAAGAATGGAAAATCTTCAAGACCGTCGTCACCTTGGTCGCCCTTTGGTTTCTGGCCTGGACCCCCTATGCCTGCGTTGGTCTTTTAGGCATCTTTGGCATGAAAGACCTAGTTTCTCCGGCCTCGTCCATGATCCCGGCCATCGTCTGCAAGGTCTGCAGCGCCATCGATCCCTACATCTACACATTGAGTCACCCTTACTTCAAAAGGGAACTTAGGAGACACTTTCTGACCTTTCGGAGGATCCTCCGGGAGGAGAAGAGGACGAAGTCGTTTTCCTTGAAGGTGAACGAGTCTCATGCTTCCTGTCCCAATGCATCTCCAACTCCTTTTGGTCAAAAATATAAGCAGCGGATTAAGACCAACGCGATTCAATCGACCCCTGTGTGACCGCAACAAAGGAAACCTGGAAGAGATTCTCTCGTTACAGCCTCTCTTTCCAGCAATTCTTCCAAAGGATCATATGAATTTCCATGGAAAGCTTCAACTGTAAAGCCTCTATGGCTGAAAACTTAAGCCTTAGGAGAAATCTAAAAAAATTCCACGAAAACCTGGGAAATCTGAGATTCGTGGAAGATTGTGATTTCTTTAGTGTTTCTGTCAACTAGCAATCTCTTGACCAGATTATTTTTATTGTTCTGCTCTATGTTGAATTGGATCACTCCAAGATCCCACGCCGATGTGTCATATTTCGTGAGAAACTGTTTCGAGATCCTTTACAATGCTCACACTCTGAGACGCGTAATGGATGTTTTAAGGATGTCGTACCATCGTGGAGGTTTTAGATGCAGTTTCGGTTATCAGTTTCCCTAGACTTTGCGTTTGTCTTCCCTCCCCCAATAATCTTTAGAGTGCTGAGCCAAATCAACTGTTGGGTTGTGATAATGATCGTACAAGGAATGTGATAAATGACTAGTTATAAGGTTATCGTGCTGATAGCGATCGACATCGACTGCATTCGTTGATCTCGCTCTAGCGTTTAGACTGCGTTGATGTGAATTTTTTCCTCGTTGCAAAATTTTTACAACCGGATATGATGGACCTGACTGTGACTGTGGCGTGACTCGTGATAAATATATGTGTGATATCGTCATTGTAATAAATATGATGTTCTCGGATGTAAAGATGAGCACAAATCAACATGCCAAGAAGTTCTCCATTGGTTTCCTCAGCTCAGTGGAATATGAGCTGTTTCTGCGGCGATAGGGGCTGTTTCTGCTGCGGAAGGAGGGCGACGCCCGCCTTCTGATTATGAGGCGAATGGGGAATGGGATGGAAAGTCTGTTCCGCACTTTTTTACTTGGGCTCTTCCCATGGTCGATTCCGTGATCACTGCCATTCCCTCCCCCCCCCCCCCCTTCTACCACGCGTTTTTAAAGGATGCGGACAGAGCGGATAAGAGAAAAAAAAAACGACTGGCATACTCGATGGAGACTCCAGACATAATTCAATTTCCTGCTCGCTGAATATTAATATGCTGTCTCATTCCCCCCCGGGGAGGCGAGGACCTTAAAGGCCAAAGGATCAAAGGCCACTCCCCTTCGCCGTTTCTCCTCGCTTCATTTCCCAGCGTCGCTCTTTCGAGAAATTTACGTCTTGCGATCATTGGAATTCTCACGAAGCAGTTTCCAATCCGATTTCCCATCCGTATCGGGCCTGTAATACATTACCATACCATATTCATATATAGGTATACCGTACAACATTTAATTATCGCGTGATGTCGCTCTGTCGCTCGTCGATTAGGATGCGAACGTTACAAAATGACAGATACGATCGCCTCGTTACCTAATTATTACCTGGACAAATGACACGATCTGTATTTTGGTACGACCAAAAATAAAGAGGGCAGCGGGGATTGAGATACCAATCAATCAATCAATCAGTTTATTTGGAGGCTACATGAATACAGCCATCATCATTCAATTTGATCCATGAGATTGAGATCCCGTATCGACCAGAAAATAACAGTGTAGGAGATATGCGCGGGATATCCTCCTTTGCGAACCAGGCCTTTGGTCCCTTTGGTCCCTTTCATCCCTTTGGTCCCTTTGGTCCCTTTCATCCCTTTGGTCCCTTTGGTCCCTTTGGTCCCGTGAATTAGGTTGCCAGAGTCTCGCATGAAGTCCCTCTGCCCCAATCAGTCAGACATCATTCATACGAATTTTCTTCTAATTTATTTCGAACCTTCTGTTCAGTTCATAACCATAAAGGAGGGGACAAGTGGAAGAAAATTGCTTCCTATTGTTAAAATTGATTGAAATCTCTAAATTTTGAAGAGAATACGAAATTCCCAAGAACCTTCTCTATTTAGAGATTTTTCGTTGCGATTACGTCGACGAAAGCCCTGAATTATTATTATTATTAAATTATTATTATTAAATTATTATTATTATTATTATTATTATTATTTCAATTCTGAGTTATGCAATTGGACATTTTCGGCGACCTTTGATTTTTATTTGGGGACATCATTCCGCGCCGACCAACAAGTATTTTGAATGCTCCGAACTCTTTTTTCCCCTCAAGTTTTCATTTCTGATTTTTAGTAAGCAATTCTTCCCCAAATACAAATTGCTTCGAGCTTTGTCTAACGTCCAGCATGCTCAAATCAGTGTGCATGCTCAAATCAGCATGCATGCTCAAATCAAATAACAAGGGATGTGCGAGCGCCCAGACTGAGGGAGGCGCCGATTGACTGCCGGATTATTACAAAATAGAAATAAAACTTAAAAGCAAAATTGCAAATTATCCCGAATTTAAATAAATTAAACATAGAAATTAATATGTAATGTATTGTTGGTGCTGTTGAAGCTGGAGAGGTACAGAGGGGGGGGGGGGGGTTGACATCTCGCCCGGGGGACGGGGGGGGGGGGGGGGGGGGTCGCGCTGGACTGATATTTCGGCGCTCAAATGCAAGGTCAGTTGTATTTATAAGAAACCCATATTTAAAACTTTAAGTATGGAAGAGTTATGTGGGGTTCAGTGGAACGAGCTGCAACTTGGCATATTTGCGGATCTTACATAATTTGATAATTACCCAAACTTGAGTATTGTTCCCAAGTTTTGCAGGGGGAAATTTACCTTCAAAAATATGAAAATTTGACCAACTTTTAAATTCAAAATTGAGCATGGTCAGTCAATAAAATTTACTATTCGAATTGACTTTTCGACATGAAGAAATATTTTATTTGAATTATGTTTATACACGACTAATAGTTCACTAAGAGTGCTTAAAGTTCGGTCAAAAAGGGTCCCAGGAGGGGGCGGGGGGCCTTCAAAAGCCCCCCCCCCCAGGACATGAGGGCTAAAATATTTTTAACTGGGGTTTTCTCAGTATCAGGGTGAAACCATATCACAGAGATTTTCAGAGATTCAGAGGTCCCTCGGTCATGTTGACGCGCATTGACCCATTTGCAACCATCACGGAACGATTTCTCCTGTGGCCATCACATTTTCGTTCTTCGAAGGTCTTTCACCGACCCTACAAGTCCACATCCAACCCACAGACCACACGAGGAATCTCTTGGAATCATGCTGATGCGACTGATGAATTCATGCAGTAATGCAGTAATGAATAATGAATTCATGCAGCAAACAGGATTTGAAGTTTAGTCGTGAAGGGCCCTTGGGGGTTCTGTCCTTTGGGGGGGGGGCCGGTTTTAGAAAGTAAGGAGAAGAATTAACTTATATTTGACTGTGGTTTTGAAGTATCGGAGTAGATCCCGATAACCATTTTCTTTCACAATTTTTAAAAATCATTTACGTCAAATTCTGGTCGTTCGAGAGTGTAACGGTCCCCCGAACGACATCGGCCGCATCGACAAAACTCGAGTGAAAGTGGCATCGCCCGATACGCGTGGAAGTTGCTCGGTTCAAAGCACCCCAAGGCACCCCCAATACAGGGTGACCAAAAAAACAGGTTCGGCTGCACAGAGAGAGCATCTCGGCATCTATGGGTCGTATGACCTTGCGTCCTGGTAAATCAATTTACTACTATGAAGATTCAAGGCCATACGACCCGTATACGCAGAGAAACACATAGCTGAGTAGCTACATCAATTTCTTGGCCATCCTGCATAAAAAAATTTTTTTTTCGTGTTTTAATTTTTTTTCGATTCTCCCTTTTGTTACGCAGTTTTCGACCAAGCCCGCTAAAACCACATGAAATGTACCTTCCCCATCGCCCTTTAAACGGTGCACCCCATGAACCCTGACTGTTGCACCGAGCGACTATATCTGCCAGTGGGGAACGAGTTGTTTTCTCGTCATGGGGAAAAAAAAGGACTTTTGCCCCGGGCAGATGTCCTTTTCTTCCAAACGTCAGATTTCTTCGAGTCGAAGGAAAGCAAAATTCTGACCTTTGGTGCATCCCTTCCGCCCCTCGATCCTCTCGAAACCTTCGCAACACTCGTACCTCAGGACTCTGCGGAAACGCAGGCACGACACCCTGAGACGACACCCGAGACGACACCCGAGACGGGGTCCGACACCGGGGGTACTACAAAGAGCCTCACGTTTTCTGCCCGCAGATCTGCCGGTTCATCCAGTACCGACACTCGGTGTAGAAGCGGCGGTCAGTGCCTGGGACTTCCTCCACCACGCACGCATTCGGCCTGCGAAGAGAAAATTTGAGAATTTCCGGTTCCGTGCGTTCATGACATCGCTCAATGAAAGCAACAGGAATTGAGCTCTACTGATGAAATTTGGTACAGAAACCCGAAATAGCATCAACGTCAATAGATAAACTCGATCGATAAAAAAAAAACGATATACGTCGACGGATGAAACGCGCCATTGCCATTTGGCACAGCCATTGGGCACTGCCAATGCCGTGCCCCAGCCCCTCACGTACGGCAATGAATGCTGCAGACACAATTGCAGAGCTGCCAACAATTACGTCCTCTGGGAATTGCTTCATGGAGGAACGATAGCACAAAAGCCAACTGGCTCGAGTGAAGATAGTCAATTGGCATGAATGGAACCCCCATCACACTTGAACCGAGTTTTCCCTTGGAGACATCTCACGGCCGAGAAACTTTAAACAATTAACGCTGCAACGAATTATTGAACCATATTACATTACTATAACTCAACTCGGTGGAGTACAAAAAGCAGCAGCAGCAGCAGAGAATAAGATCAGTCAAGTTCCCCCCAACCCTCATAACGAGAAAGTAGAAAAAAACCAAGAACTTTCGGAGATGTAGGAAAAGCGCGCCAATGGAGCCTCACCCTTCCTTCTGCAAGCGCTTGTACCACCAGGGCAGCTTCCGCGTCGCGCTGCGCTGCTGCGTATGGGACCGGCGTCGCCGCGACGAGGAGCGCGGCTCGCAGAACTCTCCGAGGACCAGCCCCAGCGAGAGGGCGAGGGGTAGCAACGCGGTGAGGTGCATGGTGGGCGATCGACTGAGCTGGGTCCTCGGGGTGCCCGGGGTGTTTATCCCATCACTGTCACCCGGAAAGGACCTTGAATGTTCGAATCCGCCCCTGGCACACTTCAGGCCAATGCCAAGGATCTCGTCCTCCCCAACGAGCTCTTTCTTCACTCACTGTCATACACCTATTTAACCCATCTCGTGCTTCCCCTCTTCAAACCATCTGTGTCTTGTTCGGTTTCTTTTTTTCTTTTAAAGAAATGATGGATGAAGCAATGACAAAAAACCACCGACATTCTTACTTTCTCATTCATCATAATGAATACAACTCCATTTGTCGTATGTTTGAAAAGGGCGATGCAAAAAAATATGAAAAATGGAAAGGTCACACGGACCCGGCGACACTACACACTGCAACAGGTACGAATAGCAAGCATTTACGAAAGAAATCAGACGATGCATCGCGTCGCGACGACGGCGAGGCACGAAACCCCTGAAACAGACGCGAGCGGGCGTTTAGCGAGACGCGGGAAGCGCTTGAGAGGCTCACCCTTGCTCCTGTCCGAGTTGGATGGCATGGTCGGAGAGCTGGCCGTAGCCGGAGCAGCCCCACGGGCCGCCGAGGAGGAGGAGGAGGAAGACTTGCCCCACACGGATGGCTCGGTTCCGTTGCATCGCGAGTGCCTGAGAAGGAGGGAGGGTTCCCTCGCTCGATTCGATCCCTCGGTGTCATCTGGTTTATGCGACACGTCGTCGTGATCGTCTCCAAGGTTTGCCGGCTGCGTTCTCACCACTTGCGTTTCGTGGGCGGATAGGATGCATTGTGCAGACGGGGGGGGGGGATGTTTTTCTAGAGCGATCAGATCCACGCGTTCGGGGGTGCGAGGAGAAAAACTTGAACAAACTTTCTCTCCACGTGTGGATGTTTTCGCGGGGAGAGAGCCCGGGGAATGATGTGCTGAGAGAAAAATCATAAGCATGGCCATGGCCTTCGGCTTTGTAAAAGAAATTCCAAGCTACGAATCTCCGCGTCACCCGGCGTCGTCAAATGAGAATAATGGAATCGAGCAGACGCGAGAGCAAGGGCCACACGAAAGAGTCAAATAAGGCAGATCAAGAACTAAAATAAATGATTACTCGGTGAAAGCTGGAGACAACGCCGGATCTATCTAAAAGATGAAACGATTCAACGCCGGCGACAAGAGTGTCGGTGTTTGGGTTGGGAAACAAATCACATTACGCCATTTATTGATGCCTATATACGAGGGATTTTTCAAAAGTTCTGCCAGTAGCCCACAAGTCGTCATCGGAGGCGGCCGCAAAGTGCTACTTTGGGGCTACTGGCAGAACTTTTGAGAAATCTCTCGTATGTTGTTTCGTTAGGCAGTTAAAGACAACTTAGTGTATTGGTTTTTACGAATTAAATTTTTACGACCTCATTTCCGGCGCTCGATTTTTCATCCTAAAACTGGTGAAAATGGCCAGACACCGATCGTCACTCTTCGCGTCACGAGGGCATAATAGGACCTAAGATGAATTCGAAGACGTCTCGACTCAAGCAGGGCACGTGTGGAATCCCAGGATGGAAGTTCTAAAAATATACCTGTAGTCAATTGCAGTTCATAAATTGGAAAGACGTCAGAAGTTACAATTGTGACGCACTTTCGTGCATGTCACACCTTAACCTTGCAGCTGACATCGTTTTGCTATCTTCCAGTCACGTTGACTCTCTACAGTGAAAAGTTAGCCACCTTAGGGCATTTTTCTATCTCTGTAGATACTTTGATGAATTTTAGCGCCATTCGCGCAAAAAAATTTAATTGCCAATGAATGTTACTGCAAAAAAAAGAAGTAAAAACGACAGTGACCCATTTCTGCACTTCTCATTCCCAGCTGATACCAATCTGAAACACCGATACCCCATTCCTCCCTACTCATTTTTTCGCTTTGCTTTTACCCCAGTCTGCAAGCAAGTTCCTCGCCGTGCAAGTGCGACGATCAGTGTCCGCAACGAGCCACCCGGAATTCTGGTGGCGACGCAAACACCGGTCCCATTGAAAATTATCAAACTCCTTTTGATACAAAAAGGCACATTCTTCATTCTGTCTGGAAACTTACGGTTTCACAGTGGATCGAGTGTGAATTAATGTCAGAAAGAAATTTTCAAGAGAAACTTCCGTCATGGGAGGGAAGAGGCGAGGATATTTTCAGGTGATTCATCAATTTTTTCGAGGCCACTAAATAAACACCATCCTCACAATTTGAAAAAACCAGCAAACCTCTTCCCCAGGGGAATGCCTATTAACAACTTCGTGGCAAGGACAAGGTAAACAAGTTCGACAGATGTAGTACAATATGCGGAATAGAGGAAGGAACTCTTCAATTAGGCACCTTGAGCGACGGAGAAAAAACAAGGCTAAACGAAATCACTGCAGAAGAAAAAAAAAAGAAGGAACATACATAAGTCAAGAATTGAAAATAAAGTTAGTTTTAGTGAAGTTGTTCTTGCCATCTCCTTCCAAATTTATTTAGTTATATAATAGCCCATATTTTATGTAACCCATATATAATTATTTCTGTCAATTTAACTTCTCAGCCTCGATATCAAGACTTGGAAGCGCACTACATTTCCGAACATTTCAAAATTCTTCTATCCCCTTTCGAGGAAGTAAGTTGTGAGAACGAGCGTGGACTTGAGGGCTACTGTTTAGACAGCTGGTTGTTCAATTAAAAGGGCTTCATGGCCACGGCGTCACCCTGACTCCCAAATCATCTCTCACAAAAACCATCATCCGCCCTGACGTCAACCAACACACGGGGGAGAGAGGATACAAGGCCTTCTTTATTCCTTACACACAACTTTCCCATTCCCGAAACGTATGCACCAAACTCTCTCACCCATAAGCAGATTTATACGAGTCCTAACAGCCTCTCGGCCTCCTTGATCTTGACGGCCAGGTTGTCGAAGAACTGCATCTTGGCCAGGATCTTCTGTGCCCCACTCCAGTCCTTCGACCGTAGGGCATCGCTGGCCGCCTTGGTCAATACGGCTAGCTCTTCGTCGTTTTTCTGCCGCATTTCCTCCACCACCATGAGGCTGTTGGCCGCGTGGATGCGCTCGTTCAATTCCATCATTTCCACCAGGAACTCTTTGGGCATCTCCACGGCTCTTTCCTGCAACGGGTGACCCTGGAGTTCCAGGATGTATAGGCCACGGGTCAAAGGCTTCAGGAGAATCCGGTATGCTTGGTTCACCCGAGACGAACTCTTGGCGGAATGTTCTTGTTCTTCGGAGTTCTTCTGGGAGAACTTGTCCGGGTGGAGCTGTCGCTGCAGGGCTTTGAAGGCGGTGGTGAGGCGGTCGTAATCCAGGTCGAAGGTCGTGGGGAGTCCCAGGACCTCAAAATGAGAGCATGAATCAGGGGGCCTTTGGAGGGCTTGGCATTTGGCGCAGAAGTTGACGAAGGCCGCGCGGGGAACCGGATTCCGGCATTGCCAGCAATCCAGCTCCTCGACCGGGCTTGCACAACCCTGCCAGCGTCGAGGGACTCGGGTCAAGCGAGACCCCGGATGCGGGAGGCTTGGCGGAACGGCGACCAGAGGGGGTGCGAGGGTGATTGGATGGACGATTTTGTAAGCATAACAGAGACGGGTGAAACGTTGTCCCAGGCGACACAGCGACATTTTCCTTTATCTCACTCAATACACATGCACCATACCATATAAAAACGTCCAGCAAAGGATATATGTCTGATGGGAAGAGTCAAGAAAAGAAAAACATGATGCATTTCAATTATTGAACTATCGGAAAAGTAAAAAGTTCCTATTTTAAACAATTGCATAAATTCATGCAGTTTCACAACAATGAATTATCCTTTCGTAAGGATTTAAAGCATGACAACTCAACCGTTTTACTGAAAAACAACTAGGACTGTTTCAAGTTTTGAAAGGGTATTTGGAAAATCTATCAAGTACTCCATGAATTTTCTACCGTAGGACGCCCCATGGCCCAAATTCATTTCACCTCTATTGAGTGAAATCTCGTTACAACGTGCATTAGATACATTTGTAAAATTATATATCCCTGGCAGGTTTGCTGCATAAATAACGTTAAAATATGTCAACATAACGTACTTCGTATTTACACACACTTCAGATTAACGTCTTAATTTCGAAGTTCCAGGAGTTACTTTCAGTTACCGTTACAACATATCTCCCATTTTTTTTTGTACCAGCATGGTAATGCAGCCAATGGGATGCGGTACCTTAACAACGATCGGCCGCGGGGAACGACTCTGACGTCACAGAGTAACGTGCGCTGGCTTGTCTGACTCAGTTTGCACGGCGTTGTCTTCGAGATTCGTTGGCAAGGTTGCTCATTGTTTTTACTTGCGTTCCATGTTCGTTACTTTTTGTGTATCTACTTCACTTTCTTTTCTTGCATTCATATTAAAGTATTTTCATGATAAAGCATGAGAACACAGGGTCCCCACAAATTCCTTGTAACGAGATTTCACTGTAATCAGTTTGCACTGACGTCACAGCATGACATCAAACACACGTCCTTCCAGCCATATTGGATGACAAAGAGAGGTTTTTCTTTTATCAAGCCATCACTCACATAATTCGTGCGGTTCTTTTTGATGCCAAGTATTCCAATAACTTTCAGTCTCTGGATAAATAAGCAAAACCTTGCTACCTTAGCTAGGTAACTCAACGTGACGGTCTGGATCCTTGCGCACTCAATGCCAAGAAAGTCGCGACCGATGACTAGCCTAGGGCTAGCCAAGTCCTTAAAAATCCAAGCCTATGGACAGCGTTTGCTTACGATTAATATTAATATTGTCTATTACAGGGGTGTCAAACATACGGCCCGCCGTTTGTTTTAGAAATTTCTGCTTGGATAGACTGTCACCACAAATTTCAGTGGAAAATTATGGGTGCGGTCCGCAGGCATCTTCAGGGTGGGGAACGCGGCCCTCCAACCGATTTGAATTTGACACCCCTGGTCTATTACGTTCTCGTTAGCAAATTGCAGCTGGCCTAATACGAAGTGCTTCGAGCAGACTCTGGCTTACGGAAGCTTTTCCCTTATTGGACTTGGTCTCTTGGTTTGTCGGATCCCAGGTTCCCTCTTTTGTCGGTTAATCCTAGCTTTTTCTGGCTCTTAATGTCTTACGTGAGCCGGAATACGACATAAGGACCTGCCCACCTCTCCACTCGATCGAGCTCCACGCACAAAAATGTCACAGAAGTGGGGGATTTAAAAAGGGCGGGTGCGAGTCAGGCAAGACAAACAGCTCATCCAATATGGACGCGCCCGTTCTGCGTAGGACTGCATTGAGCAGCGACGTCACGCGAGAACCATCTTACTTCGTTACTTCAATGGACGACTGATGGTTGCTTGGTGAAGCAAAATGCTCCTTGAATACAACATTCTGTCTTTGGAAGAAAAAAGTAACTCCTGCTATATTAGCTAAAATTATAAAAAGGCATGTGAAGCATTCAGTTCAAATGATGTGTCCAAAACGGGATGGGAGGAGGGGCTTGAATCCAAAATAATGAAGAAATGAACGAAGTGAAGGTAAAAAATCGTTTCCGACAGAAAATGATCCACGACACACCTAGCCTTCACAGTGGCGCAACCAGCCCTAAAGTTTTGGGAGGTTCGGAGTACTCATGATCGGTTATGAAATGTCTCCGAATGCAAGGCGTTATCAAACAATGCAAGGCGTTATCATCGGAAGAGAAACACTCAACAAAAACGCGAAACGGCGCGAACACAGAATATAAAACAAAGAAAAATGTTATATACAAAGGGGGGAAACGGAATTTAAACCCTTAATGAAAAAAGCACATTCGATATTTGAAAAAGCTCAAAATGAACTAAATCAATTTCGGGATTCTGCCCACTGCACAGATACGACACTGGAAATCC